GCCTATTCACATTACTATGCTGTTAGCAGTAGTAGTATTCGTTGTGATACTAATAGCAGCAAATTTATCTGAATATGCTACTAAACATTAAACACAGAAGCTATGTAAACTACTGATACCGCAAGATAATCAAAATCGATTCCGAACATTAGCCCAAAAAATTAACTTTTATTTTTTCGCTAATTTAGCTAATCCTTATTCTCGGTTTTGTTGTCATTAAGAAGGAGGCACGATACCAGGTTTATACCCCATTTTTGTAAAAATGATCTGTCAGTGTTCTGTGGATCTTTGGTATATTCTAAGAATTAGAGTTTAAATGGTTAGATAACGCGATGAAGAGGTTCCAATATTTTTTCAGTGTTACGTCGACGATCTTTCCCATTTCTTCTTTGTTCTGTTATATCCAAAGTATAATTCTTTTCGTACGAATTTTCTTTTAATATGTAAAATGATCAGCCTTCCATAAAATCCATAATTTGAGTATAAATTTTACTAATATTGTCTTCTGTCTTATTTCAGAACTGTTTCATACGGAAAAGACACATGTTCGCAACCTAAAGGTACTCTACCACGTCTTCTATCGTAGAATCGTTTCCTTGCAGATTCTACCTAAGGAATATGTCTCGCTGATATTCGCCAATTTGGAGGAAATCTTGGACATACACAGTAAGACGTCGAAAGTTAGCTCTCGTACTTAATTCTCGATGACACAGTTTTGGTGATTTTAGCCAAAATGAACACAGCCATGAAGGCGGTTTTGAGCAAGAACAGTTTGGTGGAAGACATTGGCGACTTGATGCTATCTTTTGTACGTTGATTACAGAAATTTTTGGCTAGCGCTGTTAACTTACTGTCAGTCCTGTTGAGTATACGATAGGGTATAAATTATAAGTATAAGACAAGGTGAATGTACGATAAACCAGCTAAGTCAAACCGAGATCTATGCTTGGTACAATCTGAGTAAAAAGTTCAAAGTTAATAAGCACAAATATAAATGTTTTGAATTGGTGCTGTAGCGCCCATGAGGTCCTATATGCCCTAATTAGACAGATTGACTAATTTTCATGTGATTGCAGAGTACCACTGCAATTTTCTCTTCATATGCTTCATAACTTACCCGAGAAAACCACGATTAGCCGCCTTAAAAGTGTAAAAATCTTTGAGACGTATGCTAAGGCGACCACATCCTATTTGACTGACTGTTGTATGCACCACTGTACATGATTGAAGGTCCTTGATGTAGAATTTTTTCATAAGCTCAATAATGTTACCGAAGGGACCCTCCTTAGTAGCCGCAAAATGGTGTAAATCATTAAGACCAGTTTCATGGCAACCATGAGTTGACTGAACGAGATTAAAAACCGTTAATGCGTAGTTCTGTTTCTTCATAAGTTCAAAAACAAGAATCGAAGGAATCGTGTTTAACAGGAAGAATACCATGGAAGTATTTGAGACTGGGTCTGAAGTGGCCACCTATTCCTTGACTGACTGCTACTGCATAAAGAGGTTCAGCTGCGATTTAAAGCAACTTGTATTATTTCAAATTTCACTGCATCACCAAGCTTCGTTTGATTAAAGTTTAAACACTGTGCATTTCCTCCAGCTGATGTTAATTACTTGAGCACTAAAATGAGTCGATGAACATTTGCAATAAACATGACGTTAGAAGTTCATTGCTTTTCTTCTTTTTCGGAGTTACACCTTTTGTTGAATACTGCACTGAATAATCAGCATCACGTAAGTAAAGGTGATGTGCAGGTACAGGAGGCACTCGTATTGAACTGCATGGCTGTACTTCTCTTCCACTCTGTTATGTCCATACCAGAAATTTCATGCTCCCTCAATTTTTTGGAATTCTCGTTTCTCAGCTGGTTACTCTGAACTAATTTCAGGCGAATTCTCGGCCAACGGGAATTCATTCTGTGCATTCGAGCTCCAACCCTCCGGAGAAGCTGATCTCTACTCCATTCCACCACAACGCCCCCAAAAAAGATAAGATATGCTTGATTAAGATTGCTAAAGAATCTTGCTTTTGTGCACTGGTATTCTCACATTGGTAATTATATCGTGGTGACACTGCACAGGTGGATTACTGTATTGAATAGGAACGAAAATTTATAAGAAATTAACAGCGAAACACTAGATGAACCAAACCTACAGAATTAAGTAAACGAAGTGGATTTACTGAATCAATGAGGGATAGGCAGCATCATTTTGTGTAGAGCATTTGCAAATAATGTTTTCTAATTTCTGACTGAGTCTGAGAATATTCTCAAGTGTGAGATGCTTCCAGATACTTATCCTTCAGCCTGAAGGAAGGCATGTTTCTCGTCAGAAAGAACGATATGTCATAGTAAAAACAACAACCTGGCATATCATGTTTCCATTTTAGCCATTACTGCGTACCCACCGTTAAGTAAGAATTACGATTCATTTATTACCTCACCCAGTATCAAGGTGGTTAAGATATTTTAAAATCCGTCAGAGCGCATTGCCCGCTTACATTTCGTGCTTGTAGAATTTTCGATACTTTTGGAATTTATCGTTTGATTAATTGCCAGTCTTTTAGTTTGATGATGAAGCGGGTGAGAAGTTCAAAGACGCCACCTGTATGTTCTGCCGCAATCTTCAGCATGCGCTAGAGGCTCTGAAGCTGCGCATCAAGAAAGACCAAAAACTGTGCATGTTTTTGCAGGTACTTCTCAACGGTGCGCGTAAAGATATGTGCGTTGAAACACTTTCCTTTTAGGACGTTGAGCGGGTCCCGATTTGTCGTAAACTGCAACTGAAGGACATGCTGCCGATGGAGATGCAACGGTTAACCAAATACCCGCTTCTTTTCGAGACGATGACAAAGTATTTGCCGGGTATGAGTATACCTAGTTTTACATTTTGTGGTCAGTCAGTTAAATGAATTTTAATTTTGTCTCTCGGGTTTTACCTGTACTAATTAAAGTCAGCAC